GTGTGTGTGTGTGTGTGTGTGTTTGTGTGTGTCTCCATTACAGAAGTAAATGAGTTTAGATCTTATTAAGTTGGCAATTGTTCACAAATTGTTGCTGTTTGTAGGATCTGTTTCTTTATGATATTTTTAATGTTAAATTCTAAAACATTTTTATTTTACAAAAGATAACTTTACTGTGTGAGATTCTGTTTGACACATTTTTTTCTTAGTAAATATTTTTACACTGCTTTTTGTTACATTAGCGATAGTGAAATAACAGACATTTTTTTATTTCTGCAGCTATTTATTTGTTTAATTAATGTTCAGTCACTTTATAATGACACACTTTTTAGGTAAATAAATTTGGTTACAATGAAAATGTGGAATTCAGGGGGAAAATGGAAAGAGTGGAATTTAGAAAAATAAAAACAGAAAAAACAGAATTTGTGAAAAAATAAAATGGATTTTATGGGGCTTTACTAACCCTCCTGCAGGTGTTTAGTTAGGACGGTTTTCTTCAAAAACACTTCAGTCCAGCGTGAAACAGATCTGTTTATTTGTCACTACCATGGCAACACAAATGACATCATCAGTTATGGTTAATGACAAATGTTAAAGTGAAAATTAAGAGTCAATAAATTTGACAGTGATGAGCTGACATCAACACCAGACTGGTTCAGACCAGTAGAGACTGGTTCAGACCAGTAGAGACTGGTCAGACCAGTAGAGACTGGTTCAGACCAGTAGAGACTGGTCAGAACTGTCCGTCCACATTCAGGTAAATCCAGTGTGTGATCCTAATCATCTCCATGATCATAACTCAAACTTGCTTCTGTTTATTTTTTAGTAAGAGGCGGAGCTTGAATGTTACAGTTTGGCCTTGTTCATGCGGCTCATCAGCTTCTCCAGTTTGATGGCAAGCGTCATGTCGCCTTTGATCCTCAGCTTCCCCGACATGAAGGCCATGGTGGGCTTCAGCTTCCCTGAAACGACACGAGCAGGAAACAGCTGTTACTGTGGAAACAAGGTGATGAGAGGTTACATCTGCTGCTGACGCTATGCTAACAGCTAAAAGTTCAACAATTTCAGAGCAACATCTTTGTTACCACAGTTTTCAAAGATTCTAGAGAAGTTATTTGTGACTAGATTAGATCAATTTATCAATAAACATAATAATCTAAGTAGCGGTCAGTATGGGTTTAGAGCTRATAATTCTACATCAATGGCTCTCATGGACTTCACTGAACAAATAACAACTGTCGATCAAAACTGTGCTAGTATTWATGTTGACTTGAAGAAAGCTTCTGACACCACTGACCACACCTTTCTACCTGAAAAAKTTAACAAATACGGTATTAGAGGACCAGCATTACAGTGGGTGTCTAGTTATGTAAAGGACAGAAAACAGTTTGTACAAATAAATGATATAAGATCTGAGTTGGGTACTATCACGTGGTGTGCCTCAAGGTTCTGTACTTGGACAAAGTTGTTTATTTTATACGTGAATGATTTAGTAAATGTGTCAGGGTTGTTCAAATGTGTTTTATTTGCAGATGATACTACATATTTTTGTTTTGGTAAAAATATAGAACGGATGTTGGTAGTGATGCAGATAGAATTTGTTAAAATACAAACCTGGTTTAAACTTAATAAATTATCATTAAATTTAGATAAAACTAATTATATGATATTCAGTAAGAGAAAGAAAACTGTTGATGTTCCATTTAGTGTTGATGCTGTCGAGATCTGTAGAGTCAGTGA